CGGCATCGGTGCTGCCGACTGAAGTCCAGGGAGTGTTGAAACGGAAGGTTCGTTTTGTTTGGTGTAAGAACCCTCCGATATCAGGGTATTTTCGGACGGTACAGCAGCTCGCTCGGCAGGAGGGTGAATGGGTTTGCGCATGCTGTTCGGAGCCTACTTGGGTACGTTCGGGCTTACATATCATGATTCGGATCGGAGGAATTTCGGGGATCCCTTCCCTGTTGAAGAATTCGCGGAACATTCCACGTTTACTTCCTGCAGATGGTGTCTTGGAACTTGGTAGACAGCTGGTTAAGATCGCCAGCTACCTCAAGTCCTCGTTTGTCATCAACCGGGAGGACCTGCAAGCTTGTTGGCTGTGTGGTTTGGACTGTGTGGGCTTGAATCTGTTGCAGGAACTGAAGGCGTGGTTTATGCAATTGAAGCCTTTTGTTTGTGTTCCTATAGACCGGAACAATTCTGACACATTGGTGATCTGCCCGATGTTGTATAAGCATTTCCTTTGTATGGCTTTCAATTGGAATGCTTCTTTCGCATTGGTATCGCTGACTTAGGGTGAGGTTTTGGGTCGCATGCGATCGTTTTTTTTGGATTTTGGTTTGCAGCGGATGGGATGAGGCTGGCTCGTTTGGTCAGGCTTATGCTTTACCCAAACACAAGGACCTCTGCAGGTGGAGACCTATCTCACCCACCTTCGCGGAGCCATCCCGTTTGGCCAGTTCTAGAGTGGCATGGTCCCTCAATGCACTTCTTTTTGCACTACCTAGGAACTCAGGTTTCAATCTCAAGGCTGTTATGGATTTCGTACCTGGATTGATGGACATGGATAGGAAATTCAGCAATATGTCTGGGTATTTCGAATTGGTCTCAGCATCTTTCGATATAAAGGATATGTTTGTCTCTCTTCCCCATCAGGATATTTTATGCGTTGTTGAATGGTTGATCGGGTGGTATCTCAGCAAAGGGTGTAAGGGAGTCAGAGTGGCTAAGCAAGGGAAGCAGGTCTGGCTGTCGTACGGTGGGGCTAGGGATGACTGTATCTTTGTCCCCCTCGATGCTATTCTGGATATGGTGCGCTTTGACCTGTGTTTCACCTTTATCTGGTCTGCTGGGCAATTGCTGAAGCAAGTAGTTGGTGTGCCGATGGGTAAGTCCTCTAGCTGCCCGATCGCCTGTATTCTCTGCACTTTCGCGGAAGTCAATTTTCTATGTGCCCTGGGCAGTGATAGGCGCTTGGTGCAAGGTTTTCGTGTCGTCGATGATGTTACTATTTTTGTAGCAGTAGTAGGCAGATATGGTTTTGAGCGGGCTGCTGGTATTTTGGATCGTTTCACATGCTGCTATGGCAGGGTGCTCAGATTGGTCAGAACGGATGAGGCAGAAGGATGTTGGAATTTTGCGGGGGTCGCTATTTACCGATATGGTACAGCTCTCCGAACGGTGGCGATAGTGAAAAATGCTTCCGGCATTTGGGACTCCGGGGTGCTAATATTCGGTGGTTTCCAGGATTACGAATCATATTCGAGCAAACGAGCGAAAATCGGTGCCATCCTGAGCACCCTGCACCGAATTTTCAGGCTCACTACTGATGTTTGGGGTCTGCAGGAGTCTTTTTTGGCGGTTAAACGAGAGCTGTATATTAGGAATTACCCTAGGAAAATGGTGGAGGACGCCTTCTGGCATTTTGCTGGTAAAGTGGGGGGTGTTGTACGAGAAGTAGTGGCCATGTGTTTGTGAGGAGGGGCTTGGCCATTTGCCAAGCAGGGCTTATGCCCTCCAAGTTTTGTGGCTTCGTAGGGGACTGCATTCTGTTGTCTCAGGAGGGGACACAGGCGCCGCCACCAGGCGGCTAGGCTGTTGAGGCCGAGCCTTAGTTTCTGGCACTCTTTCAATGGTTGTCTGGTCTATTGGCTGCTGGCTCTGCGTTTGGGACAATGGGGGTGAGGCCTAGCTATTCTCTTTTTGCCTGTATCAGGCTATGATCACGCCTAGGTACTTTCATTGTGACTTTTTTATGGGATCCGATTTTGCTTACGATGTTCCTATTTAAAACCATTCTTGGTCGGCAGTGTATTTGGCCTTTTTTCGGTACGGGGGGGGGGTTCCGGGCACCTCGGTCTGAAAAGACGACAACATCCTTTTTTCGGGACCTATTTTCCAACCTTCTGCTCCCACTCTTTCGACAGAAGGATGAGCAGGAAAGATTCAAAAGCAGCATGCTCTCCTCGGGACGGCCTCATTCACCGAGGGAACAACGACGTGCGCTGACGGTTGCGGTATGCGCTGGCTGCGCAGCAGGGAAGGGACAGCTATGGCAGCAGGCGGAGGGTGCTCTACCACCTTCTACTTGCCAGTTGTAACTTCTGTGCTCTTTGCCACTGTCTTACGGCATGATTTTGCTTTTCAGGATCGCGAGTGCATGCGCCTGTTCACCATGACGGGAACGGTTGAAAGGTCTCGTAAGATGGGGCTTGCCTGTAACAGTAGGGTGGAGATGGGAGTAMGGAGTCTGGGTGGCGAGACRCRAAGTGYGGATAGCGCACAAWTGGTCGTCTCCTTCGATCGGGTAGGTGTAGGGTAGCTATAAATTAGAGGCAAGGCTGAGGTATGGCCTCTATGAGTCAGGAGTGTATTCGTGAAGGGTGGTGTTTTRTCTCCCCCTGAAGARTYCGTATGGCGGGACGGACGAAACGCGTCRGGGATTTTCCGCGYTGCTGTTCTTGAGTGAATCTGTTGGGAGCACTTGTCAATGGCTTCCTTTTGAACATGCTGTTCTTGAGTGAATCTGTTGGGAGCACTTGTCTATGGTTTCCTTTTTGAACATACTCCTTATGATTGCCTTGTTGGTTATCGAGCATGCGTAGC